AAAGGGTCATATACTGGCACTATAACATGGTGCAACTGGAACCAACACCCCTTTCTACAGCTCTGTTAACAACAGACAAACAATGTCGTACTACCTTCTACAGGATCATCTGTGGGAGGAGAGAAACAAAACTTAGGTATTTCATAGGCTTTATCAACATTGAGGAGCACATGGAAGAGAACTTCCTGTCATAAGAGTGACTTGCCCTTGCACACACTCATTAGTCACCTTTTGAAACACAGGCACTTGTAACTTTTACTAAACAGAGTTACCTCCCTTCAACCACTTAACTGTCCTCACTACTAAGCCTTACACATAAGAAAATGGTACCCCCTTGTATCTACTGTTACACGCCCATGGATAAGCTTACTTCGATCAATTTTTATGAATTATAAAGTTCGGAAATGAATCAGTTGTTGATAAAAAGACGAAAACTAATACGGTGTTTGAAGAACGGAATATCGCGATGTTAGTGAGAAAACTGGTGTTATGCAATTAAAATACTGAAAATGTGTCAAGCCGAACCGACCCGTTTCTTCAGCGACGTTTGACAGAAATACTCAAATGACAGCTGTGCTCTTTAAGATTTGGAAATTTATGTGTTAATAGTTAATTTCAAATGTGGAAGAACTGCAATAAGATTATAAGGTGGACTGATTTTGTTATAACAGCTTATTTTACCTCATGTGATGTAATTTCTTGATGCCATTTAATTGTTTGAAGTATGGTGCGAAAAAATCTTGCCAATCATACACATTTACAAAAACATTTCCTTGTTCATCTCCAACTAACTGTGGAATATTTACACCAGTCACTGAACTTTTCTCAACACATTCTACCATATCAGCCAATGATGATACTTCAGTACGTTTAAAGTTTTGTTTTAGTAAACCAAAACACCAGTCCGGGCCAAATTTTGTATGTCCTGTTATCATGAAATTTAATGTAATAGAAAAATGAAAATTATGTAGAGTCCTCCACATTAAATACCATATCATGAATTTGTTTTTATTTTGGCCACTACAATTATCACAGTGCAACTCGGCATGTTGTTCACCTAAACCATATGTGTTAAAAAAATGATGTAAGTAACTAATGACAGCATTTGATCCTTTTCCTGTACACATGCCTTCATCGATAAGGTAATTCACCTGAGATGGAATGCCTTCACATGTAACACCAAATATTCCACATTTTCTTGGTACTAGAAAGTATATTGGACCTGGCTGTAGAGGGTTAGAAGGATAGTGCACCTGCTGTGCATAATCAAATGAATAATGTACAGTAATATTTCTTGAACACTGTGTATTTGAACCAAGTGTTAAATTTTCAACAGATTTTTTGCATTGTGAAACCATATCTCGATATAAAGATCTTTCCTTAGAAACCAATTCTAAATGTTCAAATTGTTTTTTAAGTTTAGCTCGTTTAACGACATCAGGTAAATTAGCACTTCTATAAACAGCAGCATTATTTTTCTGACACATATCACACAAGTCAGACATTGGTTTTGTTCGTACAATATGGGGTAAAAGGCGATTCCATATATTCTTGAAATTGGTTAATTTTGTTGCACGATATCCTGCAAATATACAATATGCAAATTAAATTTTCAAGTTTATAAGCATATTCAATAGCTCGTATCATTTGAACAATAATAACAATGAATATTTTTGGCCCAGTCTATTGTGTTAGTAGGTCTTTAATACGTTTAAATTTTGAACACCATTGAAAACGTTAACAATTTAGATAAGGCTGGAACAGTAATTTAAGCTTTTCTGACCAGCCACAGCCATTGCTGTTGAATAAAGTCTCCATACAGATGCCTTTGTTTCATTTGATGGGAGTAACCGAAGGTCGTCTCTTTTAAAACCAGGAACTATTCCAGGTAGAATAACTGCATGGGTTTCAGCAAATGTTGAAATAAAATTTACTACTCTTTTTATGTCATCAAAGGTCAAAACACGTGAACATTCTATTCTTCCACCACTCCTTTTTTCAATGGGTCCAATATTACCATCACAATAAGCATGTATAATATGGTTCAATCTGTCATTGCCAATACTAAAAGAAAGGAAGTAGAGAACCACTTTTTAAAATCTACAACACAACACAAATTAATAATACTAATTAATTCAGCAATATAATTCTACAACCACGTCTGTCTGAGCTTGTTTAAATTTTTTTTTACAGAAACAATTTCAAATATTGATTAGGTCTCCAATCCTTTAAACAAAGTAGTTGACAAGTGGTACCGGCCTAGTTTGCCATCTAAACTTTTGAATTCAAAAAAGCTAAATAAATTCTGGCCCAAACTCTCATCAGCCAGGTAAGCTAAAATGTAAAATCACTCAATCTTGCTTATAAATGCATTTTAATGCTTGAAACCTCCTTTATTCCAGGTTGAAATAAAAACAGGCAGACAGTGCACAAATCGGAAGGCCTTGCGACATACCATTTTCTTCTCAATCAAAGAAGTTGTTCTGTATCTCTGTCGTTCTGTCTGTACTTTTTTGGACCTTTCCGTCATTTTCGACAAATTAATGGTACAACTAATTTTTCCCATAATAAACATTTCCTTTTCACCATTTGTCAATGCATTAATATTCATTCTAAGATTTTTTATATATTCTTTATCAAATTGTTTTAAACATCGTCCTTTTTTATGTCCCACACAACCACAATTGAAAGATTTTACTCTTTCTAATTCTGTATCTAAATCATTTGAAACAATAGAATAAACAGAATCTAAAATATTTTTTGCCTCATTAACTATAATTTCTGGCGTAAGTTTATCATCATCATCTTCATCATCTTCAAAATCAATTATACAGTCATTATCTTTTTCTTCCAAAAATATTTCCTGAAATTCTGGTGCATCAATAAAATTAACATCCGTTTCAAATTCGTCCTCTTCGTCTTCAGATTCAACAGTATTTATAGTTTCATCATTAAAATAGTCTAAAGCAAACTGTAATAAATGTTCTCTATCGCCCGTTTCCATCCCGTGCATATTGCACCGCACTAGCTCATTAAGAGCTTTAGCGGTCGATTTCGCCATGAAAAAAAATATCCTATATAAGATTATGATGAAATATATATTTTATGATCTTTCTTTCACTATAATTGCCGAAATTTACTATATTTGTTGTTAATAAACACGATATCAAAACATAAACAAAAGATGAAAACACAGCGCACCGCCATCATCACGTGATCACATCCGGCCAATCAAACGTTAGTATCGCGCGTTCATAGCAACAAGCAGACACACAATATCGGAAAACCCCAAATTATTATGTTCTAGAACCTATATTTAGAATATGTAAATGAGTTTACACTAGTTTATTTTAAGAAACGAGATCCCCAGCCTCAATTTGATATAAGGAATATCTTCGCTAATGATGGTGTTGGATTTTCTGAGTTGAATGAACCGTCGAAGAAATTGACATTTTTTCTTCATCTTCGAAGAAAGTCTTGACGGCTAGGCTCTCAAAAATAGTTAAAAAAAACGTATTTTCACACATATAACAGCACATTTTCATGTCTTGAATGGGAATTTTTAAATATATGCGTCATTTAAAACCATAATTTTTTTTTCGAAAATTTACATCCATCTCAACGTTATTACTGATTTTCTCGTCTATGTTTTCCGCCGACATAAGACCCGTTTTGACGTGACGGGTCACATTTATGTAAATTTAGAATCACCAATATAAAATTACCTATTGAAATCGGAAGATGGAATAACATCCCGAGAGATGACAGAATATTTCCACTATGTTATAATCAAATAGGCGATGAACACTGCAATCTTTTTTTATGTCAATATCCGTCAATATTATTTTTTCGGAATTAAATGCATTCCTAAATATTATATAACATATCTGTCAAAATATAAAATAAAAAAACTTATTTAGCTATAATAATATACGAGTTTTATCAAATATGAAGGTATTCTTTTATCATATCGAAAAGACAACATTAAAAATAAAATAATTTAGCAATACCAATCTCTTCAAATTGAAATGTAACTATATAATATAATATAATTAATTGTTTAACAAATCGAATTATTTAACATTATATATATATATGTAACCTGTATTATTAGTTTGTAAAAATTGTTATATTTATATATTATGTAATCTCTTGTTACCCACGCTGTGAATGAAATTCTTGATTAGAATGGCTCAATGTAAACTGTTTTATATTGAAGAGAACTGTTCAGTGAACGTTTTTTCTGAATGATTAGTTGTTGATTTTCTACAGTGATCACTACTGACTGTTAGGTGATCTGGTTTTTTTTTAATGTACTTTGATTTCTAAGTTTTAGTCGTTCAACTTAGGTTACATTAATCTCGTCAAGTCAAGTCTATTTTTGATGAGGTCACTCACTTTAGACACTACTTGATCAGTGTGCAACTCCTCGTTACTATCCTCAAGGTGTATTAATAGTCTTAACTTAGTGAGTTAAATTCAGCCCAATCTTAGTGGTTTATTTGATAATCCTTGTAATGAAGTTCTATTTCTGATTTAAGCTTGCCAATTTCTTCACCCACTTTATCACAAATGTTGTTTACTCTTGATTCTAAATTTTCAATTCTCTTTGCAATTTATTATCTATAATATCAGCCACTTATACTTTTAATTTCTGCTCTAGATTTGATTTGTGGGTAGTGGTAATTTGGTTACCGGGACAAGTCACCATTTCACTAGTTCATTGAAACGTTTATTTGTCAAAATGAGTTAAAGATTTCTTACTGTGTTGATTGGTTTATTATGCCTTCTCTTCATTTTCAGCTAAGGGTCTTTTAGAACCGTTTATACGATCTCTTCTAACATTTACAGATTTTTTGTACAGGGGTTGTCGGAACACTACGGCATGAAGTCATCATTGATGTATCTGCTAATTGCTTGTCTATGTCGTCATGCGAGGAAATGGTATTATATTACCCAGACAATAAGTGATATCTGGGCGAACATCTGGCATGTGTCCAGAACATTTTCATTATTTGCCATTATTTCAATAACCTGTATAGAAAAAGATAGCCTGCCATGTAAGGTAATATACACCCACTGGCCGCTTGATTTTGAATATAATAAATATTTGTCAGTACAGTAACAATCACAAGTATGAAATATTCAACCTTCATTCATTCAATTCTTGTGATCTTTTTGGGGTGATACTGAATAATTTTTCCAAGTTTTGTCAAAATCGTGCCTTTCAGTGTTCACCAGAAATATTGAAAGCGCTTTCAAGAACTAGGTCAACAACTCCTATAAATATTTTTAGATTCAACGATTTCGATCAACACTTAGATAGCAATGGAAACGGAAGAAATTCTTCCTCTATTAATAGATAGTTGAACAATACTCTCTTCAGTCAGAGACACCAGAAGACATTCAGAATGCTAATCTAGATATATCTGATTCTCTAGTTGGCGAGTTTGATTCGTGGCAGTTGCCCACGTTAAGGTACCTGAAAGAGGTCCTGATGTCTCTAACTTTCTTGCATATCTTATTAAGCTTGTTCAACTCATTTACATATTACAAGTATTAATCGCCTGGTAATTGTGAGAGGCTTGGTACTCCACTTGTCAATAATGAAATTTGGACTGATATAGAAAAATCTCATCATGGCGTTGATAAAGGATTTAAAGAAATCCAGCATTTAAATGCTATAAGGATGGTATATATCATCTAGCTGACTGAAATTTTGAAATTTTTTCAAATGAGGAAGCTAAGGTGCTATTTTCGGATGTAATCACCGTTTTCATAAGTTCAATATAATTTGTCGATTTTTTGCTTGATATAAAGTATGCAAGTCTAGGTAAAGAAAAGACTCCCATGGTTTCTTGGGGATGGGATTTTGAGTAAGGCTTATCGGTATGGTGTCGCTCAAAAACAAGGCCGTGGATATTTTAATAGAAATAACTTTAGTAAAGTTAGAGAATTAAATCGCTTAAACCAATAGAGGTCAAAGAAGGTATCAACCTTATACTTATAATAATAATTATAATAACTACAGAAGTTATGAAAATAAGAACTATTTCAGTCGTCCCAAAAAATCAGCAGACTCCACCAAGTTCTGTTACTTCCACTCTCCAATGACAAGAGCATCCCAAAGTTGATAGGGTCAGTAATTCTCATTCTTCTAACAGTGGTAAACTGAGAGCCTGTGTAGATACC